GCTCCTGCCCGTCTGCTTAGTTTCAACTGTGTCAATATTAATATTTTTCCATTAAATAATAATTATGTATTTTCCATCTGAAGCGCTGATTTTCTTAATTGTTCAGTGTAATGTGGTGATATGGTAAAAGCGACTAAAAATATTTATCATTAGGGGAAAAAAAAGAAAATTTGACATTTGTTGAATATACAAGCTAGATTATACTTTAGAGGGACACCCCCATCCCCTCCCCCTCAGAAAACAAAAGTGTGTTGGAAGAAAAGTGAGTGTTAGATGGGAAAAAGGAAAAAGTTTTCCCTTCTGAGGACATGCGTGTTTGCCATATTCTGTAGTCTTTAGGAAATTGTTTATTATGGATTCCTTCAAATCTAATAGATGAATTTCCTCATTTTGTTCCATAGTTCCCTGCTAACTTTAAAATATGGGACTGCAACTGATTGTAAGGATGACATTCCTAATTATACAGAAGCCTTCCTTCGATTCTTTCAAACCTTAAAATGTAACATAAAATATTCATATTCTTTGATGGCAGTGTGTGTCTGTTTATGTCTAGGGCTTCCAGGTTTGTTACTGTGCTCCAAACTGAACTGTTCATGCTTGGAGTTCTGTTCTTTCTTCCTTTATTGTGGTTTTCCATGGAAGAAATTCAGCTGACTTCTTGAATATCATCTCTGGTTTATACAATTGCAAGAGAGGACAGTTTTAGGATGCTTCCCCCTGTTTCCTCCCTGCTGTGATTGCACTGTGTTCAAAGTGCACTTGGTAAGTGCAGAGCTATTCTGTCTTACTTCTCTAAAATAAACTGTTGAAGAAAACTACTATTGAAGCTTCACTAACTTAATCTCAGCTTTAAAATTAATGGTACTCTTCTAACTCTTTAGCTGTATTACACTGAACTATAATTTAAGGAAGGCAAATGGGAAAACGGTGCAAACAATGGTTTGCAATTGGCAGATTTTTGTTTAAATTTGCTTATGCCCCAGCAGGTCTCTGTAAACACAGCCTAAATTAGCTTGGTTTTGAAGTAAGCTAAAGAAAAAGTAATTTCTTCGAATAACACCACAGAAAAACCTTGAAAACCCATGTATTGTAATAATAATTATGAAAGTATATATTCCATCTTCTAAACTTGTACTTTCACACTTAATTGAACTTGAAGGAAAGTTTTCCCCTCTATCAGATATTTTTCTCATGCTTTAAAACTCTAAATAGAAATTTTTAGAAACAAAAGAATTTCCCTGAATTATTAGCAAAGCAAATGCTGCAGAACAGTATTGGCATAAGATGAAAAAGTTTAATCAGTTATTGTATTCTCATTGCTCTGTTTGGCACATGTGAAGTTTAGGATGTGAGTAGTGGAGAAAGGGCGAATTCGATTTTTAGTAACTAATTTAATTATTCAAAGTAATTCTAGGTAGACTCTGTACTGCCAAGCATTCTGATTATTAATCTGGCAAAAAAAATAATAAAAATGCATTTTAAAATTGGGTAAAATGAAAAAAGTTGTTCTCCGTGTGACTTCGGCGGGCAAGGGATTGTCTTTGGGAATTCCCTTCACCACAGTTTTTCTCTGCAAGCACAGTTGCTTGGAAGTGCACTTTTTGTGTTGATCCTTTTGATTTACAGGTAAAGGGTTGGAAGAACTGGGGATTTCTTCACGAGCATGAAATTCTGCAAGATGTATGACATAATCGGTATTTATCTGAGGTGCTGGGCACCTCTTCAGTTGGAGCAAAAAGCTGCCCACCCCCTTTGTTATGAAACTACTTCTTCCCTCATGAAATAGTATGCCCTTGAGAGTAAAAGCTTAAAGGAGAATATTTTTGTAAGGTATGAGGCTGAAGGGATCAGTAAATTTAAAGGGTTTAAGTTTATACCTGCAGAATTGAGAAAATGCAGAAGTGCAAAGCTGAAATACACTTTTAAAACTTTCTGAAGTTGGGGGTGTTTGTCTCCAGTGTGCCCTTTCTAAAGGACATGCAATCTGAGAAAGGAATTTATCTCTCTGTCCATAATCTTTGTAATCTTATCCCACTGTCCCATCAGTGATCCAATTTAGGAGATCTTTTCAGGCTGTTGTGCCCAATTACGGGGCTCTGTATCTTGTTGATTTGTGATGCAAAGTAAAGGTTTCTGAACAAACAGAAACAGGGCAGCATTAACAGCCATAACAGGAAAAGATTAGGTGGCATCTTAAATTACCCAAATTGAGAAAATAAATTCCTATGTTAAGATTTCTTCCCACAATCATAAAATACGGGTCGGTTGCTCTTTTAGAGACAATGGAGGGCCGGGCATGTTGAAGGGGATTTGTGCATCAATTGCCCAGGTTTTGCTCCTAGGTCCCGAGTCATTCCTTTTGCCTTTAGAATCTCAAATTACCTTTTTTCTGCCAGTGGCAGGTCTTGTCTGTCTCTGACAAATGGCCCTGCACTGGACTTGAGTGCCTAGGGAATTGTATCAGTGTAGAAGTACTGGAGTAGAGAGTTATCAGGTGTCTGATACCTAAGTTACCTTTATATGCCCTCAGGGAGTACTTGGATCCAGAAGCTCCCTAACCTAGCTCAGAGGTGCCTGCTACTCCTGCAGTTTTCCCTGTGTGGCTCAAACATTTTGTTAAGTGTACATGGTTTTTCTTTTGCTGATGTCTAGAATTCACCTCCAGTGGGTTCATGGCTCTCAGCTGAGCCTTGCTTCAGCAGTGCCCCAGTGTACCGAGTGGCCTAATCCTGCAGGAGTGATCAGCTCATTCCTGTAACCTCATCTTTCCCCCCTCCCACTATACAAAGTGCAGACAGTGCTACTTTATGTATTTGAAGGGGTTGCTGCTGTGGTTCACTTATATAGTACAGTGGGAGGAGTGGCAGATAGCAGTGCATATACCTGGGAAGTTCTGGGCTTGTGGCTGTTACTTTCTTGTGACTGCCATCTACCTACTTATTTGTCCTTGTCTGCATGACTTATCAACATTTCACACACTGGTAATCACAAAAAGCACTACTATTACACAAGTTTGCATTTTCCAAGTATATGCAGGCACACTGAAAACGAAGAAATGGAAAACAAACAAAACAACAGAAATAAATCAACGCTACCACCCCCTTTTTCTTTCTTTTTCCCATTACTGTCAAACAGCAAGTAGTACAATCTGGTCAGATGGATGCTGAATTGGGAAGAATGCTGTGATTGTCTTGAATCACTTGGAAGAGCTCTGCAGGATATTTTTTTTCATCTTTTAGCGGAAAAAAAAAAAATTGGACAAAAGCAAAACTGAGAAGCCTTAATCCAAAGGCTGACTTTGCACAGAAGGTTTTTTTAAAAAGCATTAACATTTAATTAAATGTCCTGCTGCCTCAGCCATAAACCATGACAATATATGTAGGATAACCCCTTTTTTGTTCATTAGTACTTCTGCAATTAGTTCACTTTTTCTCCTGCAGAGAGGCTGCATGAAAGATCTTGTTATGTGTGGCTGTGATAAAATATGCTGGCTCAGCCTGCCTGAAGAAATAGAAGCCTTGGCAGGAATGCTGATTACCGTGACAATCTAAGCAGCCTAGAGCTATGGTTTGTGTGGGTTTTATCATAAAGATACAAAAAGTGTCCTGGATGGTAGAGTAGCTGATAATATCCTCATGACTCAGGAGACCCAGTTGTCCTTCCAAGACTTTGTGTTTTTCTGTTGTGCTGCATGAAGAGGGGTGGGGGGAACCCTGTCAACTTCATGTATCTTTTTGTAGCATATTGGTGTATTTACATATTTATTTTAATATATATTTTTATGCTATGGTTACCTGTTTTTTTTTTTTCTAACATTTTAAATACATTAACACCTGTGTAAAAGCTAGGTATTGATCGTGGGTTTAAGGAAGAGCTTGAGGGGAAAGTCAGCTTGCCCCAAAAAAATTCCTCAGATGATATTTCTGCATCAAGGGGAACTCTGGTAAGAGTTTCTCCTCCAGAAGGTAAGAGAAGCAGCTAGGGCAGGCCTAGGGAGGGAGGGATGGATGAAGTCCTTTTGTGTTGGGGAGCTGCAGTGAAGGCTTCTGGAAGGAGGGAGGAGGCTGGTGGGTTTGGGGAATCCCTCCCTGTAGCTTGTTTTCCTTTGACTTCTGTGTGCAGTGTCTCTGACAGAAGCTTTGGATGCTGTGAGCAAGCTTGTGTTGTGAATGCATGGCAAAAACAATGGTAGGTAAGGCAATGAGGGGGTTTAAATCTTCATAGTTGTCTAGGCTCCTGTGGTTAAGAACAATAGCACAGAGGGAAACTGCCCTGCACTTCTTCCTGCTCCCCAGCAGTGTACAGTGGCAAATCTGTGCTGCAGGGTCTTCACAAGCAAGGACAAAAAACTCCACACTCCCACTTCCTGTGCAGTATTAGGGTGTAATTGTTTCAGCCTTTACTTCTTCAAAGGTAAGAACTGCAAAAATCAATCCCCTTACCTTCAGTGAGGCACATCTTGTGTGTGGTTGTAGGGCTAATGGCATATTTCATAAGGTCGTTGGTTTAAAACTGTCTCAGGCTGGAATAGGAAAACCAATCGTCTGGTGTCTCGTGATGTGTGTGAAAAAAGTTACTGTCATTTTGACGCTGTTAAGAAATAATAGACTTTGAAGTTTCAGTTGGAAAGGAAAAATGACGTGAAAGTATACAGTCCCAAAGTCCCTATACAAATAAATCAATTTGTGAATTTTTCTTGTTTAAAGAATTGGCTACTTAAGTGTTTTTCCAAGTGTTTTGCTTTTGGTTCATTATGGCAAAAGCAAGTGTATTTGCATTATCACTTCTGAATTGTTTTCCAAGTCATTTAATTATTTACACTAAAGGATCTATTGAAAGCTGTATGAGGTTATCAACATGTCAAGGAGCTTTTGTTCTGTTCCAGTAACCTGAAAATTGAAGGGCTCATTGTATAAGCTTCATTTGTAATGTGGAACGCTTACTGGTCCCATGAAATCATTATCAAGAGCAAATAACCAACAGCATATCTTTCCGCACAGTTCTAGAGCGTGAACCAAAAGCTGTGGGTACAAATGCTGAAGAGGAGGATGAGGGAGAGCAGTTTGACTTTGACAGTGGAGACGATATACCAGAAGCAGACAGGCAAGCCTTTGTGCCACCTTCGGCTGGTCCTGGAAATAACATAGAGCACCAAGAGGCTAATGCCACAGGTGAGTCAGCCTGTTGGGCTGTGCCTCCACTAGGCTGAATAGACAAGGTTGGTTATAGGATGCCTTTTCTTGACAATGCAATAAAATTACTTGTAAGAAGAGGTTTCCATGGAGATACCATACAAGTGTTCTGAATATTCCTGCTGGTTACACTCATAGTAGATTTGACAAGGCAAATGACCATCACATGCAATTCCTGTGAGGTTTCCCATCCAAGTGTGGCATCCAAGCAAATGGATTGGTCTCAGTCACAGTGTCATGCTACAGGAAAACTTTATGCCCTTGCAGCTCTAATGTCATGTGGATGGCTCAAGGTAAGCTGCTTTCACGGCTAAGCTTGCTGGTTGCTGATCTTAAGATGACATGCATAAAAATAAATGGAGTCTGAATGTATGATTTTTGTTCATAAGCAGAAGTCTTATTTTATTAAAGCATTTCTTACAACGCATGCTAATGTTCTCAGTGCTGAGGTGTAGTCTGGAAATTGCTGTATTCTGCTCAAATTGACTACAGCTGATTTTTGCTGACTTTGATCCAATTTCCTGTTGCAAGCAGAGTCATTTGTGCTCATGGCAGTTAAAGATGGGTAACTCTTCAGGTGACAATGCACTTTGAAAGCCTGGAAGTTAAATACCCCTTTCCATGAAAATTTGTTGTGCTTTTATGAAGTTGTACTTTTAGCTCAAAAACTTTGATCACAATTTGCTTCAGAGGGGCCTTTGGTTCTGCTGTGCCTTAGCTTGTCTCAAGAAATACCAGAAACTTTATTTTCACAGTGGAAAACTTGGAAGATTATTTTATTTTCTCTTCTCTCAACAGAGAATTTTCAGGACTGTTCTTTGAGGACTGTCCTAGTGACCTTGTTCTCTCTTCATGGCTATTCCTAAACTGTTTCTTGAATTTGTGTTTATAAGATTCAAATTCATCTAGAATCCAGATTTTAACCTTCAGGGTTTAAGGCTGTTTTGAGACATGTGCTTATGATAAGTACAAGAGGACCTTGACAAGTTGTCAGAAATCCTCCTATTCAGGATTTAGAAACCAGTTTTTCCATAGGCATGCTTGCAACCCAGCTTGCTTCCCTGCTGTTGCATTCTTTCTCTGTAAAATGGGGAGGATAGCACTACTGTGTGGGAATTCTATGAGTTTGCCTATTGAAAGCAACTTGTATAGCAAGGATCATATCAGTGTTTAGAGTATTTGCAAAGAGCAATGTTAAGCAGCTTGAACAGGTATGAAAAATAAAATATTAATTTTTGTGTGATTTTTTTTTTTTCAACTAAAGGTGCTGGTAATTTAGAAAGCAGTGAGAAGCTGCAAACATCAGAACCTGTTGCAGAAGCCACTCCACCCAAAGTCAATCCCTACTCGGTCATAAATATTTCACCAGTACAAGACAAAGAGCCATCCTCATCGCCAGAACCCAGTCCTCAAGAAGAATGTGCAAGTTCAAACTTCAGTGGGTATTCGGTTCCTGTCCCTTGTGGCTATGCTGTGCCATCTAATTTACCTTTGATACTGCCAGCGTACTCCAGTCCTGTCATAATACGCAGTGTTTCTGTAGAAGAAGAAGGTACTGTACTTACCCAACTTACTTTGTTTGAAGGGGAATCCTTGTTTAACTTCAGGTGCCTGTGCCGTTTTGTATGTGCTTGTGTAAATTCTTGTGGAGCACTCAGCCTGGATATGTGTGGGAAGTTTTGTGTCAAAATAGAAAAAGAACTCTCTCCTATAGTATGAATTAAAATTTCTTGTCAGACCTGAAAGGAAAATGCTAGCATATTTTAAAAGAGTTCCTACAGGACTCTGCTTGCGGTGCAAGGGTTGAGATACCCAAGTAAAGTTTCATAAGAAAAAATGAATGTACGCTGTCACTTCTTCAGCCTTTCTTTAAAGGTTTGTTTTGCCAGCACTGTATTACAACATATATAGTACAAGGGAGGACTTCTGTCTTACCTTAACACTAAGAATGTTAAGGCTAATTCCATTTTAAAGTAATGAAATAATTTCCAGAGCCATAGTTCAGGCCAAGTGGTTTCCTCTCCCACTTTACCATGCTTGATCTGGGTCCTGGCAGAGATCCTGTCCCTTTTATCTTTCCTATATGCACTTCTGTTTGCTTGTTTATTTTCCAGCCCTTGTGGATTTAGTGTTGCTGTGGGATTTTTCCTTGAAGGTTTGACAAACTCTGTTTGTTCTGTGTGTTGTTACAGAAAAAGGAACGCTCTCCTATTTTTAACCAGAATTTGCAAAGCTGACAACTTAATTTCAAGAGAGCAGGAGGAACAGAAAGCTCCCCAGATCCTGCCTTTCCCCCTGCCCCCCTTTATTTCTTGTATTTTGAATATAACCTTTGCTGTCTATCACCACCAGGAATATTGGCAAATAAAAGCAAATGGTTGTTATTACCTGTAGAGGAATATACGTTTAAGAGGTTAGAATTAAATGCATTAGACATGGTAATTTCCTCCTAACAGCTCGTATGCCAAATCATTACATCTCTGAATTCTTTCATTTGCAAAAATGGATTGTGTGAAGAAACTTCTTAATCTTGTATAGAACTAGATTATTCATTAGCAATGAACTAGTAAAATCAGTTCCTTACGCTAAAATGTGCCTTCTGAACCATGCTGACATTTTGGTGATGATATATGTTTTTCTACTTAACAGGTACTCAGTCAGCAACTGAAGAGTGTCATTATAATTCTGTAAACTTGGAGGAGCCTCAAAACAGGTGATTGTCAATTCAACATGTTTAAACTACCTACAAAGCTTCAACTCCTAAGAAAGCTTATACTTGATAAATACCTGATTTTTACTGTGTGACACTTCCATGTTTACTTTTTTTTCCTAACTCTGTAACTCTGGTTGTGTACCAAAATCAGCAGCGGTGGAGGTCTCATACGTATAAATGTGTATAATATTTTTGAAGGAGCTAGGTTTAATTTTAGTCATAGCAATGTCAGCTGCAACAGACTGCTGGAGATCTTTTAGTGTGGCCTGCTGCTTTCAGAAGAAACACTGCCAACACTTTGTTGGATCAGCCATGGCCTTGGTAGCTGAGTCTTGAAAACATCCAAGGATATAGATGTTGCAGCTTTCCTGGGTAGTCTTCCCTGCTACCCTTTGGTGCACTTTCTGCTAATGTCCAAACCAAGTCTTTCAATGTGCAGTTTGTTGACCATTCCCCCTTGTGTATCAGCTGACACTGAAAAAAGCCTCAACAAACCCAGCCTAAAACTCAAAACCAAGTTCAAACCAAAAAAACCAAACCCCACCTCCATCACCTCTAAAGCTGTCTTTGTGATAGTTGTAGCTGCTGTTGGATCACCCCATAGCATCCTTTTCACCAGATTAAATAAGCCTCATGTCTTCTATGCTTTAGTCCCCAAGTCCAATTTCTTCATAGTTTCTCAAGAGGTAGCTTCAGTTTCTCCACAGCTCTCTAGAAGGGGAGTGTTGGGAAGGCACTTCACTGCTTTCTGAATTTTCTGTGTTCTGGTGGAGGAACTCTGAAGCAAAATATTTCTTGAGATGGGAAAGGAAGCATTTTCAATTCCTTTGCTAAATTGTTAGACTGTTAAATAGAATAGATTAATAATCTCCTAATTACATGCTGCTGCAGCAGCATTTTTGAGTAATCAGCAGCTCCAGAGTGGGAACTGAAAGCCAGAAAGATATTTGTCTTGTCTTCACAGTTGTTTAAAAACATTGTGGTGTAGCTTTTAATGGTTTTATTTTATGGGCTTTTTTTCAAGCGAAGATAACCAGGCTAAGAGAGAGGATGATGCACTGGCCAAGTGGGTTGCAGATCCTGCAAATACAGCATGGATGGATAGTAAGTATCGGTGAGCACCAAAGTACAACTACAGGAGAATGTACTAAAATCATTGTGTATCTTATGCGCATGTATGTGTTCCAGAGCCAAGTTATACCAGTTAAAACATTTGATGGTAATAAAAGTGTGTCTTTTAGAATAAAGATAACATTTACTTTTCCATAGAGTGCTTTTTTGAGTCCGGAGTCATTCTTCACTGTCTTAAGGAAGTCATTTGGTTCCATCAATACGTGTATAGTGGGAATTTGCTTCGGTTCGGAGTCTGCTCTTTGGCTGTATATATCTTATTCAGTAATTGATAAATACGCTCTTGGAGAAGGTGGAAAGGAAGGAATTGATACTTCTTCTTGATTTGTGCCCTTGGCTGGCAGCTGTGCTTTAAACCAAAATAGAGACCAGTGGTTGGACAGGTTTTCCTGCCTGTTCTCAGCTCTTTCCACAGGGCTGGAGGTTTATCTTGAATGTCACTTGAAGTAACTGAAGAATTTGCATCCTTATTCTACCTCTTTATGTGCCACAGCGATTGTTACATTATTTAGTTTTGGGTCTTTAAAAAAAGTCTGTTACAGCTTCTCTACAGCTGTTCAGTAAGTCAATGAGCAGCCCTCGACAAGCACAGAACATAACATAGTGCTGTAAAAGGAGAAAGAAATATTTGCTATTGAATTGCATTTCTTTTTGCAGGCTACCAAAGGTCATAATGAACTATGCAGATAAAATAGTGTGAAATTTCACAAATTCCTTATGCTGTTTTTGTGTGTTATTGTATTATTTGAATTTATGATTGGATGTAATGGCAAGTGCTAGTGGAAGTTGAGTTGTATCTCCATTGTATTCACATATGCCAGTATAACCTTGATTCTTTAGAATGGAATATTTCAGTTGGAAGGGATATGCAATGATCATCTAGTCCAACTGCCTGACCTCTTCAGGACTGACCAAAAGCTGAAGCATGTTATTAAGGGCATTGTCCAAATGCCTCTCAAACACTGTTACTTGGTCCCATTAAAATTCCAGGGGGTTTCTCATTTGTTGTTTACTTTATTTTCTTTTCTATTTTACTTTTAGACCCAGATGAAGTAATTTACGATGACGTGCCCAGAGAAAATTCAGACTCTGAACCAGGTTTGAGGTTTTTGTAATATAGCCTTGTTGAAAGCAGGGTAATACAGAATTATGTGTGTGTATACTCAATAGGTGTGTTAATTAAACAGTTAAAATATATGTAAATGGATAAAGACTGTCCATAATCAGTAGGTCTTATGAAATTCAGAATTAAACTAACGCTTGAAAGCCTTTATCTCAACAGGTCTCCTACACCACTCTTCTCAGAAGCTGAATTACACTTTATTCTATAGATACTGTCCTAAATGCTTGAGAATTCCCTATATTAGAGAATTAGTGTTGCGTGTTGTAGCTGTAGTGACCTAAAGAAGGCAAGGTAGGTAGGAAAAGGATGTTTTAAATAGCTAAATAATGTATGATAACGTGTCATTGTCATGGTTGTACAGAAAAATGCTGTTGCATGTTCTCCTTCAACATAAAAATATGTGATAGATGGAAGCGCTGCTTTTTACCACCCTGAATGTGATGTTACAGAAATGTTTTATTTCAGCTTTGAAGTGATCCAGTCCCTGATAGTTTGACCATGTTTGCAAGGGACAGAACAGATCCTAAAGTTGTTGCTGGAGCCAAGATTTTACCTTTATTGGGAATGGTGGAGCAGAGGCTCAAAAAGCTTGAGTTCTCACTCAGATCTGTTTTTCAGTTTTTGGTTATAGTGAAAACTATGCTTAAAGATTGGTTGCTATTAACTGATGTGTTTGAGTAGATCGGCTTATTGGGAACTCAGTATCTACTTGCTCTCAGAGGATGTAGGAGTCTGATACTTAAATTGTAATGATTCAAGAAAACACTTCAGCTTTCTTCTATGAAAACTGTATTTATTTTTTAAGCTGTAACATTTTCATTTCTTGCCCTTAGTGGTGTGCAGGCAAGGTGGTTTACAAATTACGACTGAAATTTGTTTAATTTATTATTTGAAGTCGTTGTGTTAGATTTGTGACTTATTACTGGAAGGTCCCACAGTGGGCTGCATTGCTGTGGGCAAGGACATCTTTGCATTGCTGCTGCTCAGTCAGGACTTATTTACTATGGTGCATGACTATTTGTTGTACTAGATTGCCACTAAAATGTTTTCTTCAGTAAGTGCCCTTTAAGGACAGTCTGATATACATAGAGGTTTAAAAAATTTCTGAAGATCTCATTCTTCCAAATTAGAGGATATTTGTCTGTGACAAAGACAATTAATATTAAAATAATATAATTGGTAAAAATGTACTTTTTAGTCCCAGAATCCAGGCTTTAGGTGGATGTGTAAAATAAGTCAGCTGTTCTTTTGAGTATGTTTATTTTCTCTCTTTAAATCTTTAGTATCAGGCTGGATTACAGGCAAGGTAACCTGCAGATATGGGAGACTTCTAGTGGCTGGTGGAGTTAAAGGAATGATAAGTCATGAAATATCAGTGTATTTTCTTATTAGTTTGATCTGTTATTCTTGAAGTAGTGACATTTTCACTTGATTCTTGCAATGTTTTAGCATTTGTTGTTTGAGCTGCTGCTGCTGATGTCCCTAAGACAACAAGCCTTCAAAAGGAAGGATGCTTCTCAGCTCAGATGTGTATTCATAGCTACAGTTTGAACTTCCTTTGAATTTCTTCTAAAACATGTTGTGGGACGTGGACATACTGGTGCAGTTCGAGTGGGGCGTGTTTTTATGAGGATCATGGTGTGTACCTGTAACACTACCCTCTTTCAATACTCTGTTTCAACAAAGGCAACCTACTTTGCCTGCTTGACTATTGGAATTAATTTATATTTTAAAATGTGTGTACCAAAGTTTAAAGTTCTTTGTAGTACGTCCTGAGCAAGTTTTCTTACGTTTAAACAAACAAATTTCAATGGGGCTTTTAAAATTATTATTATTATTATTAATTTTGGTTTAATTCTTGCAGAGGAAATGATTTATGATGATGTTGAAAACGGTGACGATGGTGGAAACAGCTCACTGGAATATGGGTGGAGTTCAAGTGAGTTTGAAAGCTATGAAGAGCAGAGTGATTCCGAGTGTAAAAATGGAATTCCCAGCTCCTTTTTGCGAGGCAACCACAAGAGACATGTATGTATCCTGCAGTGCTGCTGAGTCACTGAGGTTACCCTCATTTCCAATATTTGCCTTTCTCACCTTTATTTCCTGTCTCAATTCAGTTTCAAATACCAACAGCATCTTTTTAACAGAGACATGAATCAGTGTGGGTGTGACAGCCCACAATAAATGTAATGGGGAAAAGATGAAAACATTCAACAGAAGCTCCTTAAAAATAAACAACTCAGACTGGATAAAAGTGAAATTAACAATTATTTTTGCTTGTGGGCAGTTCCTCACCTTTTCTTCTTTTGCAGCTACTGAGTTAGTATAAGTGGTAAATGAGTGTGGAAAACAATGTGAAGAACAAATGGGGTAAGCCTGACAAGACTTAAAGTCACAAAACTGTTCACCAGTGTTCCCTTTCTGTGTTAAATCTGTATCACCTTGCTTGCTTGAAGGCAGCTGAGCTTAAAAAAAAAAAAACAAACCCCAAAATAAAAGGTTTTTGTGATCAAAGAGAAGTCTGTAACATTTATTAAGAGAAAACAGAGGTGGCCTGATTAAAATGATCCATCTGTGGCACACCTCTGGTCTAGCATCTTTGGCTCCGTCCCTGCTGCAGGAGGCAGGAAGACCCTGATGGCGTGGGTGCCTGCCCTTGCTGCATATATCTGATTATACACTGGGAGGAGCACCAGGCTCCCACGCTCTCACTGCTTTGGCTCCTCTGCCCTTTCCGTGAGAAGGAAGTCTTGCCTGGGCAGCGGGCAGCCTCTTGCTGCTGGTCCCCTGCTCTGAACACTTGGAGGATGGAGGTGCAGGGAACAAGTGGGGACAGGCAGTCACTGCAAAATCTTCAAGGCCCCCCAGTATGTGCTGGCTAGGGAGAGACACCCACTAACCACTTCACAGCCACATACTGTTAGCTGCTCCAGCACCCTATGGCTGGAGGATGGTGGGGGTAGAGGCCAGGGTATTCTTCTGCGATACCCTTATTTTCATTTTGCAGTCTCTTGTGATGACAATAAAAGCCTCATTGTCTGTGTATCCTTCCAATACACATTATCTGCTCTCCCCCTACCTCCATCCCCTGTTGCCCACCATTTGGAAAACGGAGAGTGAGCGGTTAACTGCAAGACCTGAGCTCACATAAATCAGCACTTTGTAAGCTGAGTGATCATCCTCTAGTTCTGTTTTGGTGTGTTTTTTAAAATATTTTCCTGTTATCTGTAGCTTCAGCTTTGGCCATAGTCATAGGATTCTACTTACACATGTGCACAAAGTGAGATTTAAAGCAATTTTTTGACACTGTAAATATACTTTCATCTGTCACAGGAAACTGTTGGCAGTCAGTTGAGAGTGATGGTGCTAGGATCAGGCAGTGTCTGAGTAAGCGACTGAGGAGTGGTGGAGCAAAGAGGTGTACTGCAGGGTACTGCCCTGCAGCTGGCTTTTCCAGCCTGTGACAACAGGTTTTGAGGGTTGCCTTGTGAGGATGGGGATGAGGAGCCTATGAACACATGACTTGGTGGATGGAGAAGTCAGAGGGGCTGCTGCACCTAGATAGGTTACTGGGAAGTAGAGAAGTCAGGAAACTAGAAAAGGGGTTTGGTGGAGAGTGAGGAGAGATGTAAACTTTTGGACTGCTGAAATGCAAAAAAAAAAACAACAAACTCCTCAACCCTCCCTGCACTGGCACTTCAGCACATACGGAAACCCCTCCATTTCATACCTTTTCTCTTCCATTCCTTGCAGTAACTCTTGCTTCTCAGCTCTTGTGATGCGCTGGGAAAATACTGTAACATCCATCTCCTTCTATAGCCTTTCAGAGCCTATGAGGGACTCGCCTTGCTTATTATTACTGGTGTCCATTGAAAAGTATGGGAAGGTTATAGGTGGGATATTTGATTTTAAGTCCTGGTATGACTTTCCTTAAAATCACTTTTTTTTGTTACGATTCTTATTTATTTATTTAAGGGTGGGAAGGCTTTCGTTCTATTCAATATTTCTAATCTGTGAACCAGATGCTGTTTTTAATTAGACTGCTATAATGCCAAAATCCTCATGCTGGAAGTAATCGCATCCTGACCCAGCCTAGTTGAGCTAAATGCTGGACCTCTCCACTTGTTTTCAACTCAGTAGGCCTTCTCTTTCCTCGTGCTTTCATCTCTTGCCAAATGATTCTGTTGACATCAAGTTGAGGGGGTTTCCATTGGACTTCTATTATAGGGTACACCAAATATTTTTATTGGTTTTCTGGTTATATTTTAACCTCTTATATCTGGCCTCAAAATCTTTTAACAAATATTAATTAGTATTCCAGAGCATTTCTCTGCGATGGTTTCCTTATTTTGCAAATGGATATACTCATGTATGAGATGGTTACACCCATGGTCATACAATGAGGCTATGACAGATGAAATTACACAACTGTGTATCCTCCTCTGTTAGCATCTCCTTACCCGACTCACTGTCTCCATCTTTTCAGGTACCAGCAACCTCAGGTTCTTCAAACTTTAAGAATTCTTCTAATTCACTGTTTCAAAGGACAGTCAGCAATGTGCTCATTAGAGTGTGTGTTCCAACAAATGATGCTCATGGTTAAAGCTGATGCATTATTTCCATACAGTGTATGAGATGTGCACAATATAGTTAACACACAGTTAGCTTAGCCTAAGTGACTGTTCCTCTCTTCACATAGTTGCCAGCATAGGAGAAAGGTGCCTGCCTGGGTTTCAGAAAGTTCAGTGATGCACAGGAGTGATGGTCCCTTTGTCAGGTTGGAGCTTCCCTACACGATAATTTTCCCTCAGTTGTCTGTGTATCAGTAGGCAGATGGGGCAATGTGCATGATATACTTGAGTGCTTTAGCATGAAGTTTGCACTACAGGCTTTTTGAAAAGATTGTGTCTTTTTATACACTGTAGCTTTCACATGACCTAACACGTTTAAAGGAGCATTATGAGAAAAAGATGAAAGATTTGATGGCAAACACTGTGGGAGCAGTAGAGATTCAGCAACTAAAGCAAAAACATGAGCTGAAGGTAGTTGATTTTTATAACTAGCTACATTTAACTGATTGCTTTTCCAACACAGGCAATGTTGTCTCTTTTTTAATAATAATTTGAGAAAGCAGGCAATAATTTGTATGAAACTAATTCTAAAAGTGCTGGTTTATTATTATGCAGTTTATCTTAAAAGTACTTTGTCAAGGACCTTTTCTCATGCTTGTTTTTAATGGTAACAATTTCAGAAAATGTGATTGATAGGGCATCATTGTCCTTCCCTGCTGACCAGTGCCCTTACTGCAGAGCATGAGCAAGGCGTACAGCTCTGAGTGAGGTCCAAGAGTTAGCCTGGCCCTGGCTCTCTAGCAGTGTGGGATCAAACTGTGGGAGTCAGAATCTCTCTGCTCTCCATTCTTGAATGGAGCTGGCATGAAAAGACTGGGGTTTTGCTAAGAGCTTCAGCTCAAACAGACAAATTGCTTGATTACAGCATGACAACTTTGTGTGTGTTCTGATGTCACTGATGATGTCAGCACAGCTCTGGCAGTAGTGGGGATTTTTTGACGTTGTGGCATTTTGGAAAAACAAAAGTGCCAAGCAATTCTTTTAATAAACATTTCTTAGCAAAGCAACAGGAATCCTTTTTTACTGTAGTAATGTACTACAAAATTATGCAGTTCTTAATTTGAATCAACTTATTTCAGTCATGAAATTATTCTGAAGTTTTCTTCAGAACAATGTTTAAGAATATAGTTAATATAGACCTGAGTCTAGGGAATTAATCTTCAGATCAGAAATATGTTGGCAGAGTTAGTAGGACATTGGAAGATGGGAAAGAACCCTGGCCATTAATGACCTGTTCACAGTTCATTTGTTTATTATATAATGTAAATCTGAGCATTTAAGACTATTTTGAGTTCAGATTTTTGGTGCAAATTTTTAAGCATTTCTGCTATTTTAGGCTTGCATACAACGTTGCCATGAAGTAAATGCCTTTCTACAGGTTTGATTTTAAGAGAAAGTACAGGTGCTCAGATCTGAGCTTTGATGGATCTGTGTACTTGCAGTATATTACTTTAACTTTGGGCTGTATTTATAGCCTAAAATACTTGACAGTGTTCTTTTGAAAGGTATTTTGATCAAAAGTATTTTGCATGGTGTGCATGCTAAAATGCATTCCTGTTATTCACTGAACGTGTAGACTGTATTTTTTTTTAACAGATGCAAAAGCTTATGAGAGCTGCTAGAGAAGGTACCAAAGATGGGCTTGAGAAGACAAAAGCAGCTGTGAAAAAGGGTCGTTCTTTCATTAGAACAAAATCTTTCATTTCTCAAGGTATGTGCCATTTACAGTGTTTGTTACTTTTTCTGGTTATTTCTGAGACAGTAAGTGAGTAGCCTAGTAGGTTTTTGTACGGGGAGCTGAGTACCGGATGCATGAAATCAGCTTTATATCAGTAAAGGATAGTATACTAGTTAGTTCAGATGACAATATGGTCAGTGCATCTTCAGCAGTTTTACGTTTGGGGCAAGAATCTGAGTGATCTGAGAAACCTGAGGACCACAGGGAAGGATCCACTTAAAAACAACAAAATCCCAGTAAAACAGTGCCGTAGGTTCTATCTAGGTATTGATATATGGGGGTATGGAAATTATGTTTAGGTACTAAGTCTGTCCAGTTCCCTCCATTGAGCAACTCCTGAACGTCAGGAAAGTTTGCTGTCATGACATGGTTTTTAGTGGAGTGATAGCTGACTGTTTAAAAAGTCTATTGTGGTCAAGGAATAACAAACATTTTCTGTGCTAAGGAGTTGAAGTAGGGGGAAGAGGCCGTTCTGCTTTATCACTGTTTGGTGATTTCTGATGAAAGCTGAGTTTGGATTGGGAAAACAGAAAGTGGGTTGAAGTCAAAAAGCTAAAAGTATTTCTATTCTTTCTCTAGTTAAGAATAAACATCATCCCTTTGTCATGAGCCTCAGCAGCAGCAGTCCACAGTTAAGTTTTGCAAGAGGTAGGGGGTAGTAACTGAATACAAACTTATTCGTTCTTAGGATAAGTCCAAGAGGTAGTATGTATTTCCTTCACATTTCTGCACAACTAATTGAATGGATGTAACTTCAGAGTACTATTTTAGGAAGCTAAAACCGCAAGACTAGAACAAGGGGTTTTTAGTAAGCAAGCTGACATGAAGCTGCATCCTATCTGTAAGGACCAGGACACACCTTATATCCCTGTCATGACCTCTAACTTCTTCTGAATTTGCCTAATTCACAGACAGAAAATAGAAAGTTAGTTGCACAGATTTCAGCGATCAAAAAATGTATCCTCAGTGTCTCGCTGTTGCACTGGAGAAAATTATCAGCTTCAGCAGGTCAGTGTTGAGTGAACCTGGCATTCTGCCTTGCATTTCTAGAGGTTAGGTAGCAGACACAGCGTATCTGTGGATGGTTTAAACCCGCAGCCATTTACCAAATCAGCAGGGAGCTGGTGGCAAATTTGTCAAATTCCTTCCAGCTGACAAATCTGCTTCCCTTCCCTTTTTGTTCTGAAACAGTTTCTCATACTGTTCTCTATTCCTCATTTGCTCCTGTCTGCTTGTTTGGCTGGCTGTATACTGCCACCTGTCAGTGCACTTTGGTGTTGCTGTTTGCGTAAAATTTGCCATGAGAAGCAATGCAGAGCCCCCTATTCTCCTTTGTGATAAAAGCCAACATTTTGGTACATTTGGTTACCTACATTAGTTCAGTTATGGAAGGGTGTGTGGAATTTTTAAGCTGGATCATATCGTGGGTGTCTTTAATTTCTTCCCATAGGTCATTTATTTCAAAAGTGCTGGCCCTTTAACAACAAGGGTTAAAATACTGCAGCAATATTTTAAGCCTAGTTATCATGCCCTGCACTCTGGACAGCCCTGTTGTGGCTGTGAACAGGGAGAAGAGGTCAAGCAAAAGATAGGCTGTCTCATGCCAAGTGGATGTCAGGATACCTTTGAAAGATGCTCTGTATTAGAGTGCCTATCAGTGATGGTATTTGTGATTCACAGGTGATACAGAAGTGCTGGGAAATTTCTTTTGTTTGGTGAGTGAAAATAAGACTGTGTAATTATTATGCTTGGATGATAGGATCTTTTATTTTTATTTTTCTTATTTTCTTCATTTAATCTGCATGTTGTGTAAGTTGATGTTTTGGTTGTTCAATTCCTTGTAGACCATAGATCATCATGTCTGGAAGAAGAGGAGCTAAATTTATTTATTGACGTGGACTGTATGCATACAGAAGCAATTATGACTCCTATGCCTGAAGGATTATCACAACAGCAGGTAGTAGGCTTTTAGAAATATGGTCTTCTGCCTCTTTTTCCTCCCCTTCTGCTCTATATCCATGTCTCCCAGGTGCCTTGCTCTTCAAACATACTGGTGTTCAACATAAATCAAGTGGACATCAAATTCGGAACTGAATAAGTAGTTCGTTTAAAATTAGTATGTGTGCATATGGTCGTATCAGTCCTGAACACAGCCAGACATGCAAAATGCTGTTTTGCAGTATAAAATTTTAATAATTATGTTGTTTCATTACCTGAACACTTAAACTAAATGTAGTGATTTTGAATGAAAAAGAGTTTAAGCATTTTTGAGTCAGATGACATTTCTGTAGATGTTGTGGGATTTCTATTTAAATGTAGAAAATATCCTGTATTCTCTCTGTATTTTAAGGTTTCTTCTGATTTAAAAAAGAAGTAATTTGTCTTTAATAAAGTCAAGTCTACGCAAAGAGTAGATTTTGCAGTTTTGCACCTCAAACTCCGTAGTCACTGTGGAAACCTGAAGTGGGCATTCCAGCTGGAGAAGGTGAAGGCCAGGAGCGCCTTCGGGCCTGGACTGCTCGGCCACGAACAAGCAGACTTTACGGATATGCTTGTTTTAAACAGCAGGTGGCACGATCGCTTTTGTTTAAAATCTGGTGCCTGTTCAAATACTATGTCCCAGGTTGGTCTCAGTTGTGATACCTCTGCCCCTGGGACCCTAGTTCTTACCATAAGTTTTTTATGTTTGTGTGCTACTGTTACAAGCAAAAAAAGCGAGTATAAATTTAAGACTTGCATGCAAGCCTCTTGTACGTTCTGTTTTTCTATTGCAGTAACTTGCAGGCACTATCAAGTATCTATTTTGTGTATTACAAAGCCTGAAAAAAACAAAACACTTTCTACAGATGTTTATTATTTTCAGAAGAGTGAGCTGTGACTAAAAGTAGTTTCCTTTACCAGAGCAGCTGATATAATAAAGAAAACACTGCTAAATCCATTTTAAACACAAATTAGACCAACTAATTTTACTGTATATGTTTTTAAGCAAGGTCTGAGATAATTTTGAGGTCTCCTTTTGAAATGCCAATACTTAAAAGAAAATCCTCTCATAACCTGCACTTAAGAATGCAAATCGTGGAGAATTAAAGGCAGCTGTGATAGGGAAGGCAGGAGGCCACGGAATAAGGAGCAGAGAGAAGCAAGTCTGAGACTTGAATTTCATGGTCATTTAGGCTAGCTGAAAATAGCAAAATAGGCAGTTTTGCCTTCCTTTCCCTTGCAGTTGTTGGGAGTGGTTTCATCCTGCTCTTGTGCTGTCTTCTCCATCAGAGTCTCATTTTTTAAAGCTCTGGAATGAGCTGGATTAGGAAATGGATGGGGTGAACACAAATCCTTAAACCCAGCAATAACAGAAGTTTAAATTTTAAACCAGAATGGTTCCCTAGTCCTTTCTGTCATGTTACTTGCGCATGCATGCAAAGTATGTTTCAGCTGAATTACAGAAGCAGGAGATAGAAAAGGTGTGATAAATAGCCTGTAGTTTGTAAATATGAAATATGATAGCATTTCTTGAAGCTCTTACTACTTTGTCAGTAGGTATGAATATAGACAAGACAGGGTTTTCACTTATGTATGGTAATGCCCAAAAAAGAATGCTGACTTACTTAGATACTTTCTCAGTGGTACAGTTCATATGGCCTTGCCAAAAGGCAGTTAATGTTTCCTTTTTTGTCCTTCAGGCTACTCCTAATGAATTTCTAAAACAAAACATATTAACAAAAAAAGAGTATTAATCTTGAAGACTGACTGAAAACTGGTCACCTTTTTTATTGCAGCAGTTCACTGAAGTAGCCAACATCATTTTTATACCTATTATTTATATTAATGCCTAAATTTATACATCTAAAATTAAAAGACAAGTTTCAAAAGTAGAGCTTGGAATTGCAACAGTTGGCAAAGTTTATAGATACAGATACAATAACTGTTGTGTTCTTTAAATAAATCATTTTAGAGTAATAGTAAATTTAGTTACTTTTGAAGAGGTATGGTGGTATTTTATTGCAGTTCTTCTAGTTTTTTTCTATCGCTTTGTGTTTCTTGTGGTTTGTTAATGTGAGAATTTTATCATCAGCATTCCCAACTCTGATGAACATGTTACCTGATTAGAGTTTCAGACAAGCCTTTGTTTCTTCTACAGGTTGTGAGAAGGTATATTTTGGGCTCTGTAGTTGACAGTGAGAAAAATTATGTGGATGCTCTCAAAAGAATCCTGGAGGTACCTTAGTATCTTTTTAATTTTGTAATTTGGAAATTTGAAAAAATAATCAAATCTTTAAAGAATCTGTAGTGTGACTTTCATAGATTTTGCTACAGATGCTTTGTGCCAAATGTTTAGACATTTTGTGTGTGTACTGCTACATGAATTGGGTTTTTTCATTTAAGTCTTTTTTGTTGTTGTTTTCCCCACAGCAATATGAGAAGCCCCTTTCAGATATGGAGCCAAAATTACTGAGTGAAAGAAAACTCAAAATGGTCTTTTATCGTATTAAGGAAATTCTTCAATGCCATTCCATGTTTCAGATTGCGCTGGCGAGTCGTGTATCTGAGTGGGACTCTGTGGAACTGATTGGTGATGTCTTTGTTGCTTCAGTAAGCATATGCATCCAACCAGATAATCTGTTTTTATTTTATGCTTGCTGTTCTATCTCCCTATCTTTCTGTCTAATTTGGCCACATAATTCCTGTGTTCTCCAATGCCTGTGGCAACTGTCAGAGTATGTGTGTACCATACGGGTAAAGAAACTGACACCAGCACTTGCCTTTGGCTTGGTTGGTAGATGTGAAAGAATTAAGGGCAGAAATTTCAGGTTTTGAGCAAGCTTGCAGACATTTAGGTAAACAGTTTTGGATTTTTGGAAAATAGGTTCACAAACCCAACAAAATTAAGGTGAGACTGAGGCTTAGCATCTCTTAAAAAGTTGGTAGTCATACATAGTATGCTTTTTGGGAGTAGAAAAAAACATATTAGGTGATGTCATGAATTCTTGGGGTGTAACTGAGACTGGGACACAGGTAAAGAGTATTTGTAAAACAGTATCCCACTCTTAATGGAAGTCTATCCAGTAAAGGACCGAACTACAGAGAACAAGAAATGTTCTTGGTTGATAGAACAACATTGTTCCTACCACTGGTGTGTGGATGGAAAAGGTTGCCTGGCTGCTAGTTTACTACCTTTTCATGCCTGCCCTAAAAGAGCTGAGTTATGTATCTCTGAGTGCTTTGACCCCATTTCAGTCAAAATGAAGTGGTTAGTAAAGATCTGCTGTTTAAAGCAAACCTGCCCTGTTTTGACTGAGAAAGTTAAGTATTGTTAACGAGACTAGCTCTGCAGAAGAAAGGGATTACTAAGGCAATGGGCAGCAGTCTTGCCCTTCATGCTGCTGTTTTCAGGCCACACAATCTGTCTGCTTTCTTGGTAAACCCTTACCAGCTGAAGATGGGGCATTGAAGGCCCTGGGACTTTGCTGGTTCACCAAGTCTGGAATATAGGCAGCCATGGGATTGTCAGGGCATCCCAGCAGCTGCTTTGAATCTCAGTGGATGCCCTTTGATTGCCTATAGTCCTCAGGCTCTGCCCTAGTGTTGTAGCCAAGATGGACCTATTTCTGTAAATTTACATTTCATCATTCACAGCCGTTACATCTTTAGATTTCCAGACTGTCTTCTACAGAGAGTATTTTGAACATCACCAGTACTGCTGTAGCTCTAGCACTAAGCCAAGCAAAGCCCTTAACTGTGAGCAAGGCGAGTCCTTAACAGTCTGAATTCTGTCTAGTTAAGCTTTTGGGGATCTTTTGTATTTATAGTTAAGGTTTACCCTTTTCTCTTTTCAGTTTTCTAAATCTATGGTATTGGATGCATACAGTGAATATGTAAACAACTTCAGTACAGCGGTAGGGATTCTCAAGAAAACATGTGCCACCAAACCTGCCTTTTTAGACTTTTTAAAGGTGAGTTTAATCTTAAAACAGCTGGGCATTTGATATAAAAAAGACAGTGTAAATTATAAGTTAGTATTACCTGTCAAATTTTCTCCTGCATATTGTGTGACTGGTTGTCGTGGTTTAAACCTAGCCAGACAGCTTGTTCACTCACTCCCCCCCTTTCCTCCCTCTTTCTTTCCTTCCCCCTACTCCTGGAGGGACGGAGAGGAGAATCAAAAAGAATGCAACTCCCACGGGTTGAGATAAGAACAGTTTAGTAACTAAGGTATAACACAAATCACTACTGCTACCACCAATAATAATAATGATAAAGGGAATAACAAGGGAAGAGAATACAACATCTCACCATCAGCCAACTGATAACTCACCCCCCCCTCCCCAGCCTGACCAAGCACCGACCGATACCTCCTCCAGCCCTGCAGTCCCAGCCCTTTCGGGTAACTCCCAGTTACATCCTGGGCATGACATGCTGTGGTATGGAATACCTCTTTGGTCAGTTTGGGTCAGGTGTCCTGTCTCTGCTTCCTTCCGGCTTCCCCTCCTCCCTGGCAGAGCATGAGGCTCACAAAGTCCTTGGCCAAACCAAAACATCATTGTTATCAGCTCTGTTTCCAGGCCAAAAGTCAAAACACAGCACTGCACCAGCTACCAAGAAGGAGAAAAATGACTGCTACTGCTGAAACCCAGGACACTGGTTTTATGAACTTTGGTTTCATGTTTTATGGATTTGGCACAAAAACCCTCCCCAAAGAATTCACTTCCACTACTATATTTTCAGAGAATAACATGATGTTAGATCTAGGATGTATTTTGAAGTGCAAAGTAGTTTTGTTGTTGTTCAGATCAGTTTATTGGTGTTTGCATGACTACTTGTGAAGGAATCCCTGTTTTGCCGTTAGGTGAGCTTCAAATAATAGTTCAACATATGAGGCCTCTTTCTTATTTGTGATTTATTCTAACTTGTGTAGTGTAACTAGATCTCAGTTCCATAACAGTTTCCTAGTATTTTAGAAATTGTGTTTCCAATTTGGGATTGAAATTTAAAATTTCTGTGCAGAATACTTGCTACCCTGATGAACATGATGCTTCTGATGATGTGCACAGAGCGCTTGGTACATGCAGTAGAAGTTCTGTGAATCTCTAGGACTGATATCTTACAGAGGGTATACAAAATCCAGTGCAAGGCTTTTAGGCTACCTGTGACCCTGCTGGGAGCTTGAAATCTCTGCTTGTTCCATTCCCCAAGAGTCCTGGATTGAGTTGTGCCTCTCAGAGGCACCCTGTCAGGTCTGTTGCAGTGATCCACCAAACATGGAAATTGGGTGCCCTAGGCAAACTAAATGGTGAAGCTCTTATGTTGCCTAGAAAGAGGACTGATTCCTAATATGTCTTCAGATCTTGAAATTAACCAACAGCTTTTTGGAGTGTGGCCAGCACTCCACAGGGTTATATGCTGGAAGCCTTTGGCCCCAGGAAGATCAGACTCTCTATGAGCGCATTGTCATTTCATAACTCTTGCGCTGTTAAAAGCGAGTTGTTGCAATAGAGGCATAATTTATACCTTTCATCACTGCTTGTCAATGCTGGTGCTGTTGCTACTCAGAGTTGGGGACTGACAGCTGAACTCTGACAACAGAAGATGTTTCTACACCTTCTTTTTTTTGTATGTGTGTGCCCACCAATATTGAAGACCAGAATCTTCCCTACTGCTGTTTGGGCAAAAAAAAAACTGTTTGTAGAGATAAGCATGGAAACAAATTGCAGTGAAGCTTGATAGTTGTAGCAATAATGGCAATTTAAGCACAATGGCAGTTCAGTATTGTTTGGGGTGCTTTGGTTTTGAATATTTCCTCTACTCTCCTTATTCTGGGTCAGCTGTGATTATGGCTAAAATACTTCCAAATGTTGAATAGAATTATACAAACAGGGGTTTTCTGTACAAGCAGATGAAATTTGCTTGGTTTTATCTACCAGTCCTGATAATCAAAGTAATGGATTCTAATGTTTTTCTTTCCAGGCATAAATCAATGTTCTTTTCCTTAGTTACCTTTAATAAAGAAAATGAAAATTTCTTTTTGTTTGCATAGCACTGAGATTATGATGTTTTTCTTAGATTTCCTTTTAAAAACACATAGGTAGGTAGAGATTTATAATCTTTTAGCCCCAAGAAATAGAGCAGCAATAGTAAATTACAGTCAATAAATCAACAGATCACGCTTTTCAAACTTGAACAAGTTCATTGCCTTTGTAGTGCTTGAAGTTAAGCAGACGTTTCAATGCCTTGCTTATTTAAAAAGCATGAATGTGCTGTATCAATATATGCATGGGTGCTGCATTGCTGGTGTGGCTTTATCCCAGCTGTATTGATTTTAGGAAGTATTTCAGGCCAGTGACATGCCACATTTTAATAATGATTTTGAAAAAAAGATTTAATATTTGAAAATAAAATCTTTATAGTAAATAACAATAAATTTACAGTACCACTGTATAAATGATGTAGAATAACTTTCATTCTGTTACTGATGAAAATACATTCATGGAAGTAAACAGTGTGTGTGGCTTTCTTGCATTGCAGCAGTGCCAGGAGTCAAGCCCAGATCGAATTACACTGTATGGTTTAATGATGAAACCTATCCAGCGCTTTCCACAGTTCATTCTACTATTGCAGGTAAATGATAAATAAATAGTCTGATTACAGGGACAGGCAGTAAATACACAGCAGGAAAATCTTACTAAACTAGATTTACGCTTGGTTACTTGATAGGTTAGATTTAGCTTTTAAATCACTTTGCAGTAAAACCGTAGTTCAAATGTGCTACTTGTTCATAACAGTTTGTTATCTAATCGCACTTAAAAACACCACTAGAGACTTTGTGTCATTACTTCTCATATAAGAAAAACACAAAAGGATGTAATTCATGTTTCAGATAGTTCAGAATATATGTGGGATATAGACTGAAAGTGCACTCTCTCGCTGGCTGCTTTGCTCAGAGGATCTGCTTCAGTGTGGTACAGATTCCTTCTGATCTGCAGCGTCTTGGTTTCCTTCCCATGAAAACTAGGGTTTGACAGGGAGTCTTCAGGTCTTGTCTGAGCTGGCAGTTAAGCTGCAGAAACAGCACAGTTCGCCAGTGTAGACCTGCTCCAGACCAGCTTAGGCCATTTGTAACTCTGTCCAGATCATGGCAGGTCCATCCCAGTGAGCGCTGAGAGTTAGCTGTGTTTTGCAGGTGCCATAGAGGAGAGAAGGCTTTGTGGTGTAGGTCCAGAAATTACTGTGGGAGAGAGGTAGCTGTGGGAGAGAGGTAGCTGTGGGAGGAGCATGCAGGTGGGAAGCCATGGTGAGAGTTTTTGAGGTAGCGGAAGAGATGGAATTCACTGTAGCAGGAGATTTTTAAGTGCTGTGGGAAAGGAGAAAAAATACAATTCAAATTGTTCCTATTGTATCCATACAAAAGGGAAAGACTTTGAGAAATTGTTGTGACCACCATGAACTAGTTTGTTCTACTTGAGGATGAGCATGCTGTCAATGTGTTAGTTTGGAATAATAACAGTAATAAGGATAATACAATATTATTATGACAGTAAATGTCAGAAAAGTTTTAAGTCATTGTTTGTGGACACCTACATATTATACTATAATATTGATTTTTCAAGTTGTGTTTAATATTATGTTCATCTTTTTCATTTATATCTACATTTGCAGTTTTTATATTCGTTTTCAAGTTCCTTCATTGTAATTTTGCCCTATAAATTAGCTGTATGTGACCCCATTTAGTATCTTTTTCAAGAACTATTAAGATAGTACAGTAAGCAGTGTGCTGTCTGAATATTCATTAGGTGTTCATTGGTCTTATTCGTTAGTGTACTCAGGTAAAGAACATTGTGGTAAACTGTACATCCTGTAATCTTTTGAACTTGACTTTGAAATGAAATCTGATTTTTGTTTGTTTTATCATTTCCTCTCAGGATATGTTGAAAAACACTAATAAAGGACATCCTGACAGATTACCACTACAGATGGCTCTTACAGAACTAGAAACACTGGCAGAGAAGTTAAATGAAAGGAAAAGGGATGCAGATCAGCGCTGTGAAATAAAACAAATAGCAAAAGCAATGAATGAACGTTATCTGAACAAGGTGAGAAAAGTAGGAGTGTGTGATGGAAGAGTTAGTTTCTGGGCCTTGAGAGATCTCCAAAACAGACATCAAAGAGATACTTGTGGATTTTTACGTAAATGTCAACAACATGGGGTCATTCTAGTGGTAGGTTTGAGATGTGACCTTGAAGAGACTCCCTCCTTAAACCATTGTGTGCTGGAGTGAGTGGCATGCTGAAATAGCAGCAGTAGTATTGGTGTTCTGTGGCAGTGCTGGATAGAAAATTCTTATGCATTTTTCTGCATGGAAAAATTCAACTATTAATTTACCCCAGAACTGAGGAATTACTCCTATGTAAAGGATGGAACCAGTTCCTTATACTGTATTGATTCCAACTACGGGTCAGTTCCAGATGTGCTGTTGAATGTGTCCAAGAGCTGTCTTGTTTAAAGGAACTTCCCAGTCTACTTCACTCATGCATTTGGATCGTACAGTAGAAATGTCTTTAAAGAACTGTAGAAGGCCTTCAGTAGGAAGGAAGGAACAGTCTTCTTCATCTGAGTTTGTTAGTAGTTATGTGTACTGTGGAGATATATATATATGCTTGTCTTATTTGCATCATAAATGGTTCCTCCTTTCCTATGAGATGGGGCATAAATGCTTCAATTATTGCTTTTGTGAAGTTACAGATGATTATACACTGCACTCATCCTGGGATGGAGTAGTGGGGGCATGCTGAAGGACTGCAAGGAGGATTTTTTTGTGATGCATAAAAGCGTAGTTTTTAGGATAATAGTAGTCAACCAGAACACAGTTGTTTTAAGGTATTTATCAGAAAAGGGTGCACAGTTTTGGAACAATGCCAGGCAGAGTGAAACAAGCGGTGAAGAAGGTGCATAGGAAATGAGGAAGTTATGGACCATTTTGTTCTCTTGGCCACTACCAAAGGTGGTGTTTGACCTGTGAGGGATTAGTTCATACTTGCACACAGTGCTGATCTTCAGCCCTTGAAGGCCAACAGCAGAAGATATTTACATGCCATGCGTCTCTTGTACATACGATCTTTTTGGCAGTCTGATCCTCCCACCCTGACCTCCCATTTTGGGACAGCTAGAACCACATTTAGCACTTAAATGGGCTGTGAAAGGTGGGATGAGGGAAGGAAACCACAGAAATTATGGGAAATTTTTCTTCTTGTTGTTCTTTTGCTAGGGGACCTTTATCTGTGTGAAAGATTCTCAGAGCAATTACATTCCATATTAAGACTGAAAATCCCTGCAGGCCATTTTGGTGGCAGCAGAAGCTGCTATTTCTCTAAATGAAAAGCAAATTAATAAAGAGGCTTAATTCACTTGGCAAATCCACCTGTGGGCACTTATATGAGGATGGCAAGTGATAACCCGCTGTATTTTCTTTTACTTTTTTTGCACCAGATGTTAGATGTGCCCTGCATAATACACAATGTTGATTGTTTTTAAAATCTAGCTACTCAGCAGTGGAAACAGATACCTCATCCGGACTGATGATATGGTTGAGACGGTTTACAATGACAAAGGGGAAATTATCAAAACCAAAGAACGACGGCTTTTCATGTTAAATGATGTGCTGATGTGTGCAACAGTAAATATTCGGTAAGACAATTCATACTTTTTAAATGAGCATTCCAGTTCAGCTGGAAAAAATAATGCTTTTTTAAAAATTGTTATTGTTGTTTTTACTATGGTTAATGATCTTTTTAGGAGTAGGTATAATAAATGGATAACCAGCTTTGTTGCAGTCCTTAAGATAGAAGTGCTCTGCGGTCTCTAGTTATTGCTGTGTATTAGTGTTCAGCAGAGCACAGGCATGCCAAGGTAGGATTTTTCTCCTCCTTAAGTTCATACTGTCACACACTCTCAAATCTGTAACTTGACATAATCTGCAAATTTTAAAAAAAACAAAACAAAACACAAAGCTAATGCATGTGGCCAGAACAAACCTGGAACTCAGTAGCAGAGTTCCAGCTGGGGAAAGCTTTTATCTCTGAGAGCAAACGTTGAAGGATTAAAGCTGACGTGCTTTGAAAAAAGCTTATTTTCATAGCATCTTCTGTGTTTTAGTTGGCTGTATTTCTGTTACTATATCTCTGTGCATGCCAAGGTCACACTCGCATTCAAGTGCTTTATGTGATGGTGCCTTTTGACAGAGAAAATGTGGAGCATTAATAATCCAAGAACATCTTTTCTTAAGCATAATATGGGTTGGTATCTTAATTTATTACTGAAGTATTAATACAGTACAGATTTTTGTAATCATGTGAATGCTTGGTTTCATGTTAGTGAGAAATGCATGTAATAACTGCACTTCAGAAAATTAACAAGCTTATGTAAATTATCCTGTAATTCTTTTCCTTTACGAATTCTTCAGTTGCTTAGTAACACCTGGATATTTTCTCATGGCTGTTTGCAAGAATGTTGCTTTTAACCATTCATATTTTATCTTCTTCTATACTATTATTGTCTCGGATTTTCTGTATTTGTCCCTGAAGTGGCAGTGTGCAGTCTCTTTTCATTCTCTATGTGAAAAGTTCATGGTTATGCCAAGTTTTTGGGTTCCTTATGAAGTCAACAGTTCCAGTTATCACAGCACTGTTGTTCCTATGTACATTAACTGGTTATGAACAACTAATTGTGCATGAATGTGTCATGGGGGTTTCCTGACTCCAAGAAAGTTTAATAGTGTTTTTCTCTAGCAGTTAAGGTTTGCTTTCAAACCTGCTTGTTTATATAACAGTGAGTTTTTAGAGTAGTTAAACGCACTTTTAGCTTTATTCACTAGCAAAGGTTTGTGAGTTTCTTGGCAAAAGAGTGGGGTTCCAACTGCAAGGTGTGTGTGTGTATTCCTTCATGATTTCATGGATTGCTTTTAAGGTGGAAGAAACTACCTTTGTGTCCTGGTGTCCATGACATTTTGTGATGCAAAATACAGTTAGGAACTGAAGGAAATCATGTGCCAGATTTGACATGACCTTTTCCTGGTACAGAAGTTTTTGTTCAAATAAGTGTATGGTATAGAGTGTGGCATTTGCCTGTTTGGCTCACGCAGGATGACCCTTATTTCTCTTCATTTTATCTGTATAGAGGTTAGGCATCTTACGTAAGCTAGGCTTCTGTTATAACAGTGGTTTTCAGGGTGCATGCCTGCAGATTTCCTCTGGAGCTGTAGACCTCAGAAGCTTTACATGTACATGTAGCTGCACAGTATGTATCAGCTCACTTCCCTTAACCATCTTTTGTCCAACCCTTACAGAAACAGTCAACATACCAGCAGCCTGAGGACCTCTACTGGTTCCTCTGTAGCTGGCAAAGACATATATTTCTACAGAGTACATGATCCTCAGAAGCTCCTTCTTCACATGTAGCCTAGATGACTGGTTCAAACTGGAGACCCAACTTTTAAGTAGCAGCAGTTGGACAGAGCGCATGCTGTCCCTAGTGATTGAACAGCTGTGTCCTGCCTAGTCTTGTTTTCTTTCTTCTGAACTAGATCAAAAGTTTACAAATATTTACTTAAGCTGTGGCACTTGTGGTTTTTGTTCATACTCGCCTCTTCATTGAAAGGAGAGGAGTGCTGCTGGATCTCATCCTCACTAACAAGGAGGATCTGGTTGAAGCAGTAAGGGTTGAGGGCTGCCTTGGTTGCAGCGACCACGAGATGGTGAAGTTCAGGATCTTGTGTGGTAGGACTAGTAGAATAGCAAGTAGAATTGCAACCCTGGACTTTAGCAGGGCAAACTTTGGCCTGTTCAAGCAATTGCTAGGGGAAGTCCCATGGCCAAGGCTGCTTGAAGGAAAAGGGGCCCAAGATAGTTGGTTGACATTCAAGGACTGCTTTTTCCGTGCTCAAGATCGGAGCATCCCGACACGTAGGAAGTCAAGGAAGAGGGCCAAGAGACCTGCGTGGCTAAATAGGGAATTGCTGGATATGCTCAAGTGGAAGAGGAGAGTTTACAGGTCATGGAAGGAGGGGCTGGCCACTTGGGAGGAATATAAGGCTGCTGCTAGGGGATGTAGGAAGGCAGCTAGGATGACTAAGGCCTCCTTAGAATTAAACCTGGCAAGAAGGGTCAAGGACAGCAAAAAGAGCTTTTTCAAGTACATGGCAGACAAAACTAACACCAGAGGCAATGTAGGCCCACTGATGAACGGGATGGGTGCCCTGGTGACAGAAGATGCAGAGATGGCAGAGTTACTGAATGCCTTCTTTGTCTCTGTCTACTCTGCTGCAGGCAGTCCTGAAGAGCCCTGTACCCCTGAGACCTTAGATGAAGTCAGGTCGATGGATCGGTTTGCCTTAGTCGATGAGGAATGGGTTAGAGACCGGTTGAGCAATCTGGACATCCATAAATCCATGGGTCCAGATGGGATGCACCCACGGGTGCTGAGGGAACGGGCGGAAGTCATTGCTAGACCACTCGCCATCATCTTTACCAAGTCTTGGGAAACGGGAGAGGTGCCTGAGGACTGGAGGAAGGCAAATGTCACTCCAGTCTTCAAAAAGGGCAAGAAGGAGGACCCGGGTAACTATAGACCGGTCAGCCTCACCTCCATCCCTGGGAAAGTGATGGAACACCTTGTCCTTGGTGCCATCTTAAGGCATATCAAGGATAAGAGGGTTATGAGGGGCAGACAACATGGCTTCACCAGGGGGAAATCATGTTTGACCAATCTCTTAGCCTTTTATGAGGAAATAACACGGTGGATGGATGATGGCAGAGCGGTGGATGTGGTCTACCTTGACTTCAGCAAAGCATTTGACACAGTCTCCCACAGCATCCTCACGGCTAAATTGAGGAAGTGTGGACTGGATGATCAGGTAGTGAGGTGGACTGCAAACTGGCTGAAGGAGAGAAGCCAGAGAGTTGTAGTCTATGGGGCAGAGTCTAGTTGGAGGCCTGTAACTAGTGGAGTGCCTCAAGGGTCAGTACTGGGACCGGTATTATTTAATATATTCATCAACGATTTAGACGAGGGAATTGAGTGTACTATCAGCAAGTTTGCTGATGACACTAAGCTGGGAGGAGTGGCTGACACGCCAGAAGGCTGTGCTGCCATCCAGCGAGACCTGGACAGGCTGGAGAGTTGGGCAGGGAATAACTTGATGAAATATAACAAGGGAAAGTGTAGAGTCCTGCATCTGGGCAGGAACAACCCCAGGTTCCAGTATAGGTTGGGGAACGACCTGTTAGAGAGCAGTGTAGGGGAGAGGGACCTGGGGGTCCTAGTGGACGACAGGATGACCATGAGCCAACACTGTGCCCTTGTGGCTAAGAAGGCCAATGGCATCCTGGGGTGTATTAGAAGGGGGGTGGTTAGTAGGTCGAGAGAGGTCCTCCTTCCCCTCTACTCTGCCCTGTGAGACCGCATCTGGAATATTGTGTCCAGTTCTGGGCCCCTCAGTTCAAGAAGGACAGGGAGCTGCTGGAGGGAGTCCAGCGCAGGGCAACCAAGATGATTAAGGGAGTGGAGCATCTCCCTTATGAGGAAAGACTGAGGGAGCTGGGTCTCTATAGTTTGGAGAAGAGGAGACTGAGGGGTGACCTTATTAGTGTCTATAAATATATAAAGGGGGAATGTCACGAGGATGGAGCCAGGCTCTACTCAGTGGCAAACAATGATAGGACAAGGGGTAATGGGTACAAACTGGAACACAAGAGGTTCCACTTAAACTTGAGAAGAAACTTCTTCTCAGTGAGGGTGACGGAACACTGGAACAGGCTGCCCAGGGAGGTTGTGGAGTCTCCTTCCCTGGAGACTTTCAAAGCCCGCCTGGACACATTCCTGTGTAACATTGTCTAGGTGTTCCTGCTCTGGCAGGGGGATTGGACTAGATGATCTTTTGAGGTCCCTTCCAATCTCTAGCATACTGTGATACTGTGATACTGTGAAACAAAAGTATGACTGTTGCGAATAGGTAGCTAACAACCTAAACATTAGCATTTAGGTACTGTTCTCAATAAATGCATTTTGCTGATTTCTCCCAGGCATTTAACTTTTGTTCTTTTCTGTGAAATAGACCTCTTTTTATTCACTTTAATATCTCTTTTGTGACAAATATCTCTTTATGACAAATATATGTGCTTAAATGTGCATAAGGGAATGAAGGAAACAAAGGAAGAGGTGTATTAATGCCATTTCTATTCCAAGTGAGCTACTCCAGTGTGCTCTTCCCTCTGAAATGCCTGTTGTGATACACATTTCCTTTAGCAGCAGCTCACATGGGATTACTCTCAGAAGCCACAGCAGATCTTCTGTAAAGGACATCCTAGGCTGTGAGGCTCAGCAGAAACGTTGGCTCATAAGCCCTTAGGGGGTTATGTTGCCCTTCCTACTGTCGGTAGTCATTCAAAGATCCCATCATTCATACTTCTCTAAACATAGCAGTCACTTCATTTGAACACTGTTTCAAAAGAATTAGGAAAATATGGAGCCAAAGTATCATCCTAAGCACTTGTATTAGGATATCAAAATGCACATTGGTCTTACAGGATGGTCATTTATATTTTGTTAGAGAAATGTAGGGACTGTTATTGGCAGTCCTATGCTGTTTGTAAGCAAGACTATCTGCACCTGCATATCTGGTCTTTGCACTTCAGGAAAGGTCAGTCTCAAAAGTCAGCCTGATGCATGTATCTGTTTCAAGTTCTGCATGGCACTCAGACTGATAAACAGCAGATTTTAGAAGCTAAGATAATAAATAGGATGCATTAAACATAGTTGCTTGTCACAGCAGTAATTTGTGCACCTTCCAGCTCTTCCTATGAAAGCAGTGGCACCGTGACAACTGGCCAGAGGTACTTATTGAAGTGGAGTGTACCACTGGGACAAGTGGAAGTCATAGAGTATGGCAGCAGTGAGGGCCAAGGAGACAACTGCAGGTTTCCACCCCAGCACTCTGCTGAGAATGTCATCATTAACTCAAAGCCAAGTAAGTGACAAGAGTTACTGACTCTTACAGACTTTTTTGTTAAAATCATGTTTGAATTTCAATGGGTTACTGAAAGCAAAGGAAAGCATTTTGTGCATGAAGACTTCTGTAATGTGAACCATAATACAACTTCTTTCTTTGGAAACTCTGAATCCATAAACTGGTAGCAAGTCTTCTTCCTTGAAACATGAATTACTCTTATTTGTCCTAGTTCAGAGTTTGATGCACAAATGCATATAGAGTTTTAAAGCATGAATGTGTGTGGGCGTGCAAAAAGGTTATTTTGGTGTTGTGTGCTGGCTGTTCTATGGTAGCTGGTCATGCATATGTTCTTTATCCCATAGTTAAAGCAAGGAAGTTTCAATAAAAATGACTGGCCACCCTATTGCTGTGAAATAAGAGTCTGGACACAAATAGTTATGACAAGGTAGAAGTTGCCCATACATAGTATTGCACCCTTACAACATAATAACAAGTGTTTCAGAAAAAAAAACTTGAATTTTAATTTTAATGAATGTTTTTGAAGCAATATGCCAATAGGTAATTTCCTCCAAGTTTCTCTCCAAAAATGACCTCAAGCTCTGAAGTTTGCAAGTTCTTTCTGTAGTTGTTAATCCCTCCTACAAGCCTGCCAACTGCCCTCAGGAGATATATGAATTTCAAGAATTTACTTGATAGCTAGCTTTTCATGTATAATGTTATTTTTATAGTCTGTATTTTGCCTAAATACTGTACTTTTATGTGCATTTAATATATTTAGATTATGATCCCTATTAATGGACTAAAAGGTACATGAATTTTGGTGTTAGCTCAGGGAATTATTTCACACTATATTTCTTTAACATTGCAGCATTGGAGTCATGAATTTTCCCACAGTTGTGCTGAAAGGAGGCATAAATGTTATGCCTCAAGATGGCCTGAGGTGCAGATGCAGCATTTAATACCCCACGTATTCTCCAGGATGGTTATTTTCAGGTCTTCTTGCTCCTCCCTTTGTAAATAGCCATAGAAAATTTTTGTAGGTACTTATGTATCAATTTCAAGGGTGACTTCATTCTTGCAACTCCTTTTAGCATTAATGGACTACTCTGACAATATTAAAGCTCTTCTATTATCATTTACCAGCTGCTGTATTCATGACCCTGAGAGGAGTCTAATAAGGGAGCATATTACTTAAAACTGGGAGTCTTTCTCATAGGTGAGTGTGGGAGGAACAGCTTGTTGAATATTCCTGCTGCAACTTTGTGCAGTGGCTTCACAGCTGATTATACCAAATCCTTTTCTGTCAGCAAGATCAGATGGGGATATGGAGCATGAGGGGAGAGAAAATAACTGTTATCCAAATATTCCTTTAGAACCTAATTTAACCTCTTGGCTTCGAGGTTTTTTCAGCTTCATGATGTTTAGTGACAATATCACACTTTGTACATCATTTGTAGCCTCAACCTTCAGATTAAATGGCAGTTAGGTAAAAGATGAGTTGAACTAATTGTTCTTTTGGTAAGTTCTGATTGTTGTGTTCAGCCTTCTAATAAAAGGGAACAAAAGATAAGAAATAAAAAGGCTATGAAGGATACTGGTTATACAAATGAATAAATCTTCCCTCAGCTTTAGTCAAACATTTCTGCCAGATGGCCCAACTAAAATTAATATAACCAATCATGAAAGCAGAAAAGCATAGCCTTGCCATTTGCACGTACTGCTACGTGTGCGTTAGCTGTTACTCTGAATGTAGACTTGTCTAATTGGCCTATATAGACAAGTTTGAATACACACCTCATTGTGTTAGTTATTCTATAGAGTTGCCCCTTAGTTTCAGTCTTCTTGGCTGCTAAAGATTACAGAAGCTCAGAAAGTACAGCCTTACTGAAGAGAGAAGGGGACTGGTAAGACTTTGTGTAATGGTCCATTGTTGCTTGTTAATTTGCATATACCAAGATGCTACATTTTATAGTTGATGATGACACAATCTTTATTATCGTATTGTTGGTGAGACTATTGGGTATTTACCACAAATTGCAAAGCACATCCCAGTGGCCTCATCGTATGTGGTTTTAATAATATCTAATGATCAAGAACAATTTGGGATGCTGCAAGCAAAATCTTCCTTCGATGATGTAGATCCATGTCTCAAACCTTCTATTCAGTTCATTTCCAGTTTGCAGGAACTGAAGAGAGAAAGAATAATGATGATTCTATGTAAAAGCGTTAAGTAGCAGGAGAAAGTCAAGTATTCTTCTGGTATTCTCACAGTATTGCTGTGGTTAGCAAGGATTTTTGATGGGTTCTGGTTATGTCCTTAGAATTACTGGTCATTAGTTATATTTCTCTTATCATGGTAGTTTCTTCTCTGCCAAAATCCTTTTTATGAGGAGCCAACTGTCATTAGCATATCTCTATTTTCTATTAGCTAAATGAAGTTTATGCTTTCTGGCAGAATAGTATACTTTAAAGATGCAAACTTTACTTTGCATGCTACAAAGAAATTAATAGCTGAATTTTAATTAATCTCATACAAGCTGTAATATGCAGCTGCTGAAAGGTTGATAGGTTTTATTGGTACATATAAATCAAGGACATGCTTTAGTACTGTTCTAAGGTGGAAAGCAAGGGCTATGTGAACTTGGCTTTTATTAGGCAAAATCCTCAATTTGCAGCTTTCTACCCAGCTCTGCTTTGCATACCGGTCTTTTGTCTCTGAATTCTAGAGGAGAACACATTCAGCGGCTGTTAAATTCACTTTTTCTTTTTTAAGCCCTTTGTCCTTTGATAGGAGAAACTGTGTGGACTGAGGATATGGTAGGAAAAGCAGGAAAGTTTTCCTGGAGTGTATTCTGCTATGCTGCTCCTGTCCTTGATGTGCTTTTGCTTTATTCCTGTTGTTCTCCTCTATTCTGAATTTCAGTATTTACTCTGTAATGGGCTTGCTTGCATGTTTGTGGGTGAGTCTCGCTACTTCTGTACCTCAGTTTCGCCACGTATAAAATAAACTGTGCTCTGGGTAGAAACCCTAAACACTAGAAGCACCTTGGGCATCTAATGCGTCCAGAGGGAAGTTAATGGAGGCCACTGATCATTTAAACATGTCCATAGGTAACTGGGATCTTCAAATATCATGTTACCTCATAGATGAATTTAAAAAGGAATCAGTGACCATTCAAATACTAGGTTATTGCTAAATATTTTTTTTAATTAATTTTGTCTTTCTTATTTTAGATGCTGTAAGCATTTAAAGCAAATTAACATGTTTGTTATCTTTTTTTTTGTTAACATATGCTGCTTCATCCTGAATAATTTTAGTACTTGAAGGGATTTATCTGCTGGCTATTTGCTTGGCTTTTGGTTTATTAGAGGGTTGGGGTTTTTTAGTTAGCTTTTGAGGCAGTTTACTGCATAGCTATATTCTAGGAAATTATTCAGTCAAAATGGATGAGAAGCTGAATCAAATTTATGGAAAGAGGGCACCAAAAAAGTTCAGTGTTACCTGCGTTCTTCCAATAAAAATGAGAATGGGTGAAGAGCAATGAATATAGCTTGGTTAATATGACATATTTTAAATATGCCTTCTGAAAATGTAAAGCGTATAGTCAATAGCAAATTTGTAACTCTTCAGCAAAATGTACTATATTCCACTCTAGGAGAATCAGAACCTTGCAAGTCATCCATCTATACATAAAATCACTGAAAATATAGTTATTTATTATGCTTCTTAAATGTGAGTATAGGAGCAAAAGCCAAATATACTTTCCAGAGATTCAGTTTCTCAGACTCCTGACATCTGTTATTATGATTTTGCAGCACTTTATGCAAACTGTTGATGGTTTATGAAATGTGGTTTCTGTGCTGAGATGGATGCCTACCTTTTTGGTGCTGCAGTGAAAGCAACCACCCCAAGTTGTCCATTCTCTGGTTCTCAAGAACAAAAGGGGTGAGCTGTAAAAGTTTTTCACAATGATTTTATTTAAGAAGACCAGACTAAAGAGAGTCTGTAAAAGCAAATGGAGAGAGCTAAGCATCCTGCCATTTCTGGGTAGGAAACCAGTGCCTGTCAGCAGTATTATACAGCTGATCATGAGACATATGCAGCATAGCCTATGACTTAAACAAAGAACTGTTTAATTTGAGCCATATGGCTAAAGGCTGAAAGAGAAAAAGACCCACCTGTACTATATATCATGCAGTCATTAGATGCAAGATAACAGTAAAATAAAAAAAAAGGGTTACTGTGTTTATGGCTGCATTTTAGTGGTATTTTTTGTTTCACAGGTTTATAAATCCTAACTGATTATCAAACCTCAGCACTGCTAAACCATGGCTTCTCTCCTTTCCTGGTCAGACTTGCAGGAAGACATTTGTACTCCAGCTTCCATTTACCTGTGGCTTTGATCTCTGTGGGTTTTGTTTATTGTCGGTGTAGTAGTGACACAACCCTGAAGTGCAGGCATGATTCCTCTCATCTGAGTTTCCTTCTATGTGGTGCAGTTACTTCTTCTAGGTTTGCAAGTGTTGCCAGGGAAACAGGTGTGGATGTTTGATGGGCTGTAGTGTGCTCATGTGTTTCTGTTGATGTCTCGCTCAGTGGAAGGACAGCATTTCTCAAAAACGGAGCTTGTGCTGCTGTGATTGCCATCGCTATTAAAGTGAGGCGGTTTTGCTGGTTTGTCTAATGAGAAATATAGACTTGGGGAAGACAAAAAGTTGTCAACTTTATCATCACTTTGAGGCTGGACAAATGCAATGCAATGTCTAGGCATATCAACTCTAGTGTTGGTGATAAGGTTTTAAAAGGATGATGTGTCATGAATTGCTAGCTGAACTAGCTAGCTGAACCTCTGTGAAATATGTATGGAGTAATAATGTAAATTTTTATGTTAAAGATATTAAAAATAATACTGTACACTAAAGGATATCTACTGTGTTCATAAGCATAGACTAGCATTGACATAGAATCATAGAATCATAGAATAGTTAGGATTGGAAAGGACCTTAAGATCATCTAG